CAAAGAAGCCACTGAGAAGTCAACACAGTAGACTGAGCCAAGGCAAAATAATAGCTAGAAAACAAAGAAAAACTTCACAGGTTTTTACACCGAGGTAGACCCCACGATTGAAAGTAAAAAATATGGAACAGGATCTAGATATAACAAATTACGATTTATAACAAACAATTTTCCCTGGCACTTCATTATGTCCCGGTTCCACTGAAGTAAAACCTAATAATAATATTATTATTCTATTTATACAATCAGACAAACTTTAAATTGATCCAGTTACCTTTTTAATGACCACCTCAAGGTATTTTCTAAGAGGATGTCTGTAACGCAAGGCCACTGATGCCTGACTCACTTCCTAAAAAAAGATTTTACAGAAACCTTTTAATAAATTACTATAAAGCACCCACTGACATGCAATATGACCCTTAAGCAACAAGAGAAAGGCATCAATCTACTGTATTAGGTGTAACTAATCCATAACCAGTGGTATTGGAGCCATTTGGCTACCCCAAGAGCAGAGGTTTCTTTCTGGCATGGCTGCTAGCCTTCACCAAGTATGTGTCGCTGTCAGTCATGTAGGCGGTTTGTTAAACAACTATGCAACTGACAGCAAAGCGAATGACTGTCACTCCATAAATGCTAAAAGCTATGCTGAAAAGAAACCCCTCCTTACAGGGTACATTTTGCCCAGAGAACCTTAGGTCAAACTTTTTAGTTTTAGTCCACTTCCAACTCCAAAGCTCTTGGGCTCCATAACAGAAAAATTTTGTTAAGATTTTTAAGTAGTAAAACAAATAAATAAATAAATAAATAAATAAATAATGATGACAATGCTTCTTTATGCTAAGCCAATATTTGCAGTCAATGTTTACTTTACTTACAAAAAAGACTGAAATAACTCATTACCTCAATTACTTCAGCAAGCTGCTCTTCAGCTTCTTCTTTTTCTATGCTAAGCTTTGAAATCTTGAAGTAAGCATGAGCCATCTGGTATTCTAACCTAGCTGTGTTCCAAGTGACACGAGGTACTTCCACCAGGCCATATCCCATTAGAAACACCAGAAGAAGCAATCCCCATGTGTTTGATGCAGTAATCCCAATAATACCTAATTTTGACCTGAAACCCATTTAAATAGAAAATATTACTGTTCAGTAGTTATAAAGTAATGTGATTAAGTTAAAAAATACCGGTAATATTAAAGGAGCTAAGCCACAAGGATGAAATTATTCTAACACCAGAACACTCGGAAAAAATTCCCAGATCCAGATGAGAATCCAACTCAGAACCCTGCGAATTCTAGCTTGGATGCTCTAACCATTGAGCTACTGGTGACTCTACGTTGAGTAGCGTCAAGCAACAGTCATAGAGGACTGTATCAGGTACTTGCTAGAAATCAGCCATCCACCAACGTACAACACCAAGACTGTACAATATAATTTGGCAGAAGGAGAATTCTAACATTCTGAGCTCCAGGTTTTAGGTCAATTCTGTGCTGAAGTCATTACTTCGTGCCTTAACCCATACATGTATAAAATGCTGCGTTAGGGATTGAAGATATCAAACCCATTTCACCAGGGATCACTAAACATCATAATTATTTTTTTGGCGAGTTTTCCACGCATAGCATTAAAACTTGAAAAAGTTGGACCAAGATTTTAAAGTAACTTTAATCAATGTCCATCCTTGCTTGATTTTTGTATTGTTTCTTGATAAACTCTGTTTCCTCATGTACTATCCGCTTCGAGCATGACAAGGCAACTTTACACAAGGGAAGTTTTATTTTTCACCATGCTATATACTGCTTCAATTATCAAGTTACACTCACTGTGAATAATCATTTCTTAGCACAAGCTACAGCTAATTTAAATATGAACAAAATCAATCGTCAGGTGAGCATGCTAATTAAACATGCAATATAGTATTGCAACAAACTCATTAATCTGTCCTGCAGGTGAAAAAAGCACCTGTAAAAGAGCATTTAATTACTAGACACATATCCCCTTAGGCTTTTGAAATCAATAAAAAATGTAACAGTGTTCATAAAGAGGCCTTCCAGCAGGGGGCAGGGAGCATGCTTTCTCTTTTCCATCATTTCTGAGACTGCGTGTTGCCTAAGTAGGTTAGGAAAAAATTTGACTGTCACATTTTAGCTAGAACAAAAATGTTGCTGTTGGTTCACCATAAAATTTTTGTCGCCACATTGCCTCCACCCATTGGAAGGCCCCAGTGAAACTATGAAATGACAGTAGATTTCTCAGTAAAGGGTTTGTGAATGTGGTAGGGGTGGCAGCTCTGAGGCTTACCATTTCCTCTACATGAATTTTCTGTCTAACATTCTCCCCCCTAGAAAAACAATTGATAAGTAGAAAAGTTGGGACGTACAATGGCCAGTTCTGGGGATTCAAGATGGTTAACTGTTGATTTGTGTCAGAATAACTATGAGACATGCAGCAGACATACATTGGTTGGTTCATACCAAGTTCATGCTCAGTAGTTCAAAAATAGGAAAAATTACAATCCAAAAAAACTCACCAATCCAACTGAAGATCAGGTTTCACAATAACATAGACCAAAAGAATTCCAAAGATGACGAGATAGCTGCCATACCAAAGAGCATTCTCATACAGTGCTGTTTTTATTTTGCCGCGGACTGTAAAAGCTCCAGCGTAAGAGTATGACTGCATAATAGGAAGGATAAGCCTTGAAGAGAAACAATCACATCAAGTATAGGTCTACAAGAAACCAGTCACGTGTTTTTTTAAGATTGTTTTGTCTTGTTTCTTTGTTTTACTTTCAATTTTATTAATGGTCTCAAAACTAACTTTTGGACTCATTGGTAGAACAATGTTTCTAAAAAAGGGAAATCTTTGGGCAACTAATCAGGGGGGGAGGGGCATTGGTGAAACTTCGCCTTCCACTTAAGTCAGGATGCAAAGATTTAAGTCAGTTTTACAGCTTGCCATTTGGGCAATTTAAGCTGTAGTTAGCATGTACTAGCCCAAGACACTTTAACTAGCCCGAAAAATATTTTGATGAGTAGGATTGATAACAGTTCTTCTGTATTTAAATTCCCCCAAAAACTTTACTTTGCATCCATTTGCAACTTATAATGAATTTTTAAGGTAATCTGAAAATGCTATTCAGTATTGTTGATAACTACAGACTCAAGGCAGAATCAAGGACATTGAAGAAGTGAAAAAAAGTGTAGGAGCAATATTGGGCATAAAATATTGTAGTGTTTTTTTCACACTGAAGAACTTGAACTTACCATGAAAGTATTTGAGAAGACCAGTACACAACTCTCCAAAGATCAGGAAGAACTTTCTCAGGTAAATAACTCCAGGGTTTTTCGCATTGTGTTGCTGGAACATCTCCTTTGCTTTCATTCTTTTCTGAGATATTATGCGATACGTTTGATGATGGATTTGCGTTTGCTGATAGCTTGAGTTGGTTGTGTGATTTTTCTTCGTGTAGGCATTTTCTGTAGAAAGTCTTAGGAAAGACAGACGGGTTTGTTGACAAATTTCCATACGCAAACATCCGATATAGTGAAGCTTACTTATAATTGTCTGAATAAAATTTGACCTGAGGGGAGCTTTAGTAAGACATGTCTTGTAAAGTAAAATTCCTTTGGGAGAAAAAATTTTGATCGTCGGTTAAACATAATGCAGAAAACGTTTAGAGCTTTAATGTCTTTGTCAAATATTCAGTCTGAACGAAGCCGGAGTGAGAGAAGCTGTCATCGAAGTTTTCATAATCTAAGGATACAAATTCTAGTAGTAGTCGGCTATGATCGTACTAACATAGTTTCCTTAAAAGAGTAAAATGATCAAACTTACCGCTGAAACGTCTAAAGGAAGAATGAACACGATAAGAAAAGAGAAATACCAGGCCACAAAGACAGCCACCGTGACAAGCCAATGTTGCTTTCGCCAATTGCCATACTGATGAAGAAGACACAAAGTTAGGAGAAAGACTAAGATCATCTCCACCGTAAACGGTGCAGCACTCATCTTGAAACTTCTGCGATATAAAAAAATTGATCTTCCAGTAAGGTGTTGCGAAAATGCCAGGAGAAGAGACAGGAAAGGTTGACGTATTACGGAAGATCCTCAACTCAACCGGTGATCAAAACTCACTCTCGGGCAAAGCCTGGTAACTAATGAGTTTTCTTCAAGGCTTGGGATCTGGGTACCAAAGTATATTGTCCCCCCCTTCCCCGCGCACCTTCCGCAGCCCCGGACCCCCGGGTTTTTCCTCGGGGAGGATATAGGTACTTGGAAAGTATGCGGTGGGATTGCTATCACTTTATTGGAGCCCAAACGGAGACTCCGGTATTAAATACGAAAACCGTGGACGAAGATCCTGCTGGTTGTCAACGTTGGATATCAAGAAAAGAGATCTAATCGGCTAAAATATTAAAAACAACAAAAAAAGAAAAGTCCAGAGACTACTGCAAAGCTGATAACAACGTGTATTGCTCTCTTAGAACAATATTTCGGCTGGCCATACCAGCCTTCTTCAGTTTTTTTCTGTTTTGTAACATCTTAACACCCGAAGAAGGATGGTATTCCCAGCCGAAATATTGTTCTAAAAAAGCAATACACTGCACGTTGTTATCAGCTTTGCAGTATTCTTTGGACATCTCCTTTTTTGTTATTAATAATTCTGCAGTCTCAGTATTCAAACGCTTACAACTTCTCAGTAAACTTTCAAAAAGTTTAGCAATTAACTTAGGAAGAATCTCCTTTTATTTATCCCAGTACGCACGTGCATACCTGAAAAAATTTCAAAAATTAAGAAAACCAAACCAAAATAGAATAAAAAAAGCAAAGGAGAAAAACAAATGGAAATGAGCGATAGCTGACGGAAAGTTCTGCCTAACAAAATTCGCATTCACCCCCCAAGAGCTATAAATAGCTCCATCGAACCGATTTTAAAAACATGTAAAAAGGGTTGGGAGGTAGTGCTAGGTAGATTTTTTAGGAAACAAAGTGTACAATGCAAGAACTTTACAAAGAATGCAGGTCAATTACTAATTAGCCATATAAGTCCCTTGTGCCCTGTTGAAAAGTGTGTGCAGTAAACCGCCCGTGTTCTTATTGACACGTGCAAAAAGGGACATCCAATCAGGAATGGTTATTCAAAACACGAAGTTTCTCCGCGCATATTCAAAAATTAGTGGCTTCAGTTGCAAGCAGTTGGCGACGGGGAAGAATTCAGGAAAGGAAAACGCTCTCACATAAAACAGTCTATCTTTCCGTCTTCTTCGGCTTCATGGTCTTAAGTCTTTCCGTGGAAATTAAATAACTACACTACAGGAGTAGGAATTGGACAAGAAAGTTGACTGCATGGAGTTAACAGTGTGACTCAAAATTCATACACGTGGCCGACATTCAAGAACCGAGAAGCATCGACCAGGAAAACATATAAGGTAAGTCTTAACACTTACTTCCAAAATAATTAGAGCGAAGGTCACGAAAATAATTAATATCTTTGCAAAAGAAAATTTAATACTCTTTTTTTTTATCTTTTCGTGTACCGACAACAGAGAGTTGACGGAGTTTAGTTCACGACATAGGGTGGTCACAAGTATCTTCCAAATGCCAGCTAAACTTAAGACTTCAAAAGACAAATAAGTTAGACGTAAGCTATTATGAAAACCGCAAAGTGACCGCAAGAGGTTTTCTTGAATTGCCATGTATTTCAAAAGCGGAATTTACCTTTAACCGAATAAAAGTTTTAACAAACTTGTTTTCTGAAATGTTGAAGGGTTACGGGAGACTTTTGGACAACGTGACAGGTTATCAATGCGAGTGTTCATTAGACTATCTCAAACAATTTTTGCAGCTTAATTCTTCGTTTTCGCCCCATGGGTAAAAAAACGGGACTAAAATATGCTAAAAACGGGATTGAAATATCTATTTTTTTAATCTTTATACGTCAATTCAAGTTGCCCATAGATTCGAACATGCTTGTGTTCAAAAACTCGCTGCATTTAAATGATTAATTAGCAAGTCATTAAAAGAATACCATAAATAAGACTTGTACCCATGTAAGCTATACCTGATTTATAAGCAATTTCCAGATGCAATAATTAGACTATCAAAAATGAAAATGTACTCAGTAGATTGATGTTGAATCAAAGCAAAAATTACTTCCTTCCAACATAGTTCAAAAACTCTAATCTCCACTTTAGCATTTACCTATTGGTTTTGATTATTTTTTTTAATGTTCTCAAACGATAAAAAAGATGTATTCTTGGTCTGCAACCACATGACAAGGCAGCTTCGTTGGGGGTCAATAGAATAGAAATATTTCTAAAAGAATTTACCTGAAAATAGAGTTTAGTTCCCAAAGGAGAGAAATGCGTTTTGTTCTTGACTACTAACCTTTGCGCCGTAACGTCACGTGTGAACCAGCAATATAATAGCAGCCAACCTGCATTCAAACCGAATTCTCAAACCATAAAAAATCACTACGTTAAAAATCCCGCGGAAACACACTAATTGATAGCCTGAATGCGGAAGAGGTAAGAGTCTGGATGGTTTCTATGAATGCGATACAGATATACTCTGACAAATACACAATATTTGAAAACTACCAATAGTTTGCTCTTGGCGTAACTTGTGACCACCCCCACAACCTCCTATAGGCATTTTGGGTCAACTGAATTAAAAAAAAAAATCTGATATTGTTCTTTTCTCAGTTTCCCTTAATACATCGTCCCTGATGCGCTGAATCGAACCATGATACTTCACTACTAAAATACACAGCTCCTAACCTATCTTTTTCAAATTTTAGCTTTCAGAAAGTTCGGATAATGTTCCTCCGTCAGACCATTTAAAACATCAGACAAGAACTCCACATCGGTTCAGATCGACCATTAAAACAGACCACCATATCCGACCGTCAGACCAGACAACTACAGCAGCCAACCAGAGCAGACCGCCAGACCCACCTACCAGGTCAGACCAACCAACAGCCAACCAGATCCGCCCACCAGATCAGACTTCCACACCAGACTACCTCCTTGATTCAGCTTCAAATCAGCACAGCACTCCCAACCTTCTGAAGGGGTACAGGTTAGGTGCATTCCTTATGGGTTGGGTTAAGGAGGGTATATAGAGCTCTGGATGAACCTTGCAAAGCATACTTTCCACACACCTTCGGCCTGAAGTCTCCGGACTTCTTATTCGGCTTAATTTAACTGTAGTTAGATTAGCTAGTGGGTTCCCTGGGCTGGTAAGGGCCTCCCTTCCCTTTTTTCATAAGTTGGGTTCCTTTGCAGGTGTTCGGTCAGCGAATCGATTTCGGCTTTTAGGATTCGGTTAGGCACTTAGGATTCGGTTCGGCTTCGTCTTTTGCATTTTTTTTTCGGATGGACTTCGCCGTCGTCACCGCCGCCGGTCGTCTTCATTACCGTCACCCGCTTAGTTGCGCGAAATCCAATTTATCCATCACACTTCACTTGATAGTCTGTGCGCTGGGCAAGTGAGGTTTTCACTCGCAAGGTTTAACCAGACAGTGATTATTTTAAGACGTAACTTTGAAAACTGGAGACTTCAGATCATTCAGCTACAGTGAGGGGACCTGATTTGGCCACCCCTTACAAGCTTAATGGTCTCTCTGGTTACAGATAGATAATTAGTTCAGCCTCGCAAATTTGGGTCTGCCTTATCCAATTTGGCTCTTGATTTAAAACCCTATGGGTGTGAACTAAAATATTTTGATACGTATTTGCAGACCTCAAACTTGTGAGGGTAGATCAGTTGACAGGTATAGCGACTTACAAAGAAGGTAATTTGCAATGAGGCGTTTCTTCCCGAGAGGAGACAACACCATCTTGCAGGTTGCCAGGGCAACATGGGACATTCCATACACCATAGGATAGATCGTTTACAAATCGTAAGCGTAGGAAGTCTTCGAGACCAATCTACGACGCAGTTCATCGTTGGAGGAGGACATCACAAACAAGCGGATAGGATTTGATAGAGTCAGGAGCCCGTGAAGTAGTCGCAAGAATGCCTTAATCGATTGTTTCGGGAACTCGCTTGTAAAGGCCCACCATACCTTTATTTGCGCGTCTCCCGAAGACATTCCCGTGAAAACTTCGCAGGCTATAGTTATCTTTTAGTAGAAGGAGGAAAATAGGACGGGATTCTCTAGTTGTGGCATCGTTGACACTGAGACGATTTAGTTCGTCTTTTTGTTAATTTTGCTTTGCTGGAGGGTCCTCTTCTTAGGAAGTCCTGTATTGCACTACGCAGGCACAGACCGTCTACAAATGGTAGGCGTACGTAGTCTTCACTTCGACCGTCCGTGGTTTCTGATTTCTTCATCCTCTGTGAGTCGTCAGATGTGACAGAGTCCTAAGCAGCAGTTGCCAATGGTAAGTGAGAAGAGGCCGGCCGAAGAAGAACAAAGAACATCGAGCGCCTTTGAAAGATAGTCCAGTTAATTAAGTAGTTAAGATAGCTGCCTTTGCGGCGATGCATAGATCGGAGATGGAGAATCCTGCAGCACCAACCCGGACAATAGTGATGATGATGACGATCCTTTACAATTAGCTATAGACGTCTCCATAGATAGGCAATCAAGTTCGTTAAGTAGATAAGATAGCTGCCTTTGCGGCGATGCATGGAGAATGCAGCGCAACCCTGGAAACTGATGATTATGATGACGTTGATGATGACGACGATGACGATGACAACGATAATGACAATGATAGTGATAATAATAATGATGATGACATGACGACGATCGTGATGCTCGCTTGCACTAATATGTCATTTTGCTTCTACCAAATTTTTTAGGATCATAACCTTATAAGACATAAATTCAGAACTCACAAAAGCACGGCGAAATTTAGATTTGCTGTTTTGCAAACAGAAGCTGCAGATGACATTGCAGTGCAAACGACCTCATGATTAGGAAGGCGAGGTTATTCCAGAGAAGACAGCATATAGAGAACTTTATGAGCTGTCTCAACTAACATTGATATCCTTGTTATTTCAAATGGGAAGGAATTTTTTTTTTAAAAATTAGCCGAGGCAATTCTTAAAACTCTCTCGCAGTGGGTTGAATTTCAGTTTATCGCGCGTGCTCCTATTTCGTTTTGGTCAATTTGTCGATGTCGC